CCCCACCTCCCCCAAGAAGTAAAAGGGAAATTTAAAAAATTAAAAAATAAACAACCGTTCTAAGAAAAAAATTAAGAAAGTAAAAGCACCTGTGGCTGTTGAAGGAGTGAAATAAGATGGTGGAAAACGCCAGAAGCACATAGGGTTTCTTCTTGAAAATGGTCACAGCTCTTGGATCTTCTAGTTGAAACCATGGCTGATAAACGTATGAACAGAAATCAAGGGAATCTATTTCACCCTAAATTTGAAATTACCCTTTAGGACGATTTGGGGCGCGAAAAACGATGTATATGCTTTATGAATTGCCTGAATTGTTTCTTGTTTTTGTCCTATAAATATTTTTAAAACGTGTGTTGTTCTGAAATAAGCTAAAAAAATGATTATAAATTATTTTATTAAAAGTAAAATAAAAGGTTTTAAATTAAATAATTTTTCATAAAAAGTTAAAAAAAAATTGTGATAAATTAAAAAAGAAAGCATGACAAATAAATGGGAATCGATAGATAACGAAATTTCAAATAACGTATGTGATTGGTCATATATCGTGCTTATATAGATATTTTTTATATATAATTCTTCGTTGGTGGGATATGAGGATTAGCTCAATTTATTCCCTCTTTTTTATTGACGAGTAATTAATTGATGATGGATGGGGTTAGAATCTTTAGTTTCATTTGGAGTAAAGAAAGAAAATGAAAGACATTATAAAGATCTATTAAATTAATGAGTATGCCATCTAAATTTATGCATAGACATTATTGATGAATCTTGTAATTCGATGAATTCTTTTCTACATCTTAGATGTTTACCAGAGTGTGACTCCAGCCCAATCCAACAAAGGAAAGCAGTTGGCCCACTAGTGTAGCTGAAGAGATCCGGCCCACTTATACATTTATTTGTATTTTTATTTTTCATATACCTGTAAATATAAAAGAACAATATCTGGGAAGTGAATTAGTTTTGGTCAGTAGTCATTTTGACCTCTCGAACCTTCTGTATCTCTCTTCTCTCAATGTTAGGGTTTTCTTTTCATTTGTTCCACCATAGCTAATCTCTGTAGCAAGTTAACATGGTATCAGAGCAGGGATTTAGATTCTTCTCGTCTTGAGCTCTCTTCCAATTGCACCATTGCCCGAAGTTTTTCTCGTTTTGTTTTTGGTTGAAGTCAGAAGTAGTTGAAGCAGTACTGTGTTCTTTCACCGGAGAAATTTAGGACTTTTCAACTTCGATCCTTGATTGAGGTATAACTTCTCTGAATATTTGGTTTTTACGAAGGTGCTGTCACTTTTGGGAGCAAAAATCATGTTTAGGGTTTTCGACTAGACGAGACCTTACTTCTTCGGATTTTCAGAAGAAGACTGGTACATTCTGACTTATATGCATGTATTGATTTTCTGTTGATTGCAACTCTGTTTTACCTCTGTTTGTTAGTCGACTTTTATCTATTATATTGTGAGCTCGTTCTGATTACAACTCGTTCTGATGGGTAGTATATTGAATAATGATGATGTTTCTTCAACTTCTGATGGTTTTGTTCCTTTTTCACTAGATCCATCTCACCTTCTCTATATTCACCCGTCTGATAACCCTGGTACAATTGGTGTCTGTGCCATTCAATGGGCCTGGGTTTGTACTTTGGAGAAATAGTATGGTCACTTCTCTCTATGCAAAGAACAAATTAGTGTTAGTAGATGGTAGAGTCTCTCAGCCCACATCAGATTCCCCTTACTATGCATATTGGGAAAGATGTAATGACATGGTCAAGGCCTAGATAACAAATTTAGTATCTAGAGAGATTGCTACTAGTGTGATGTGTTTTAGGACTGCCAAGGAAGTCTGAAAAGACATCAATGATAGGTTTGGGCAGTCAAATGGATCTAAGTACATCCAACTTCAAAGGGAAATTCATTCTACTACTCAGGGGTCTTCTGACATAGATCTTACTTTACAAAGATGAGAAGCCTCTGGGATGAACTAAATTCCTCGCCTGTCTGCTCTTGTGGTGCCTTGCCCAAATTCATAGAAGATCAACAATTATTTCAATTTCTAAATGGTTTAAATGAGTCCTATTCAACTGTAAAAAGTGCTATTATGATGATGAACCCTCTTCGACTAATGAGCAAGGCTTATTCCCTTCTTCAACGCGATGAAAGTCAAAGGGAAGCTCATTCTTCTGTCCCAAGTCTGTCTGGAGATACATCCTCCTTCCTAATTTCTACTGGATCATCAAATGGGAACAGAACCTTCAGTCAAAAGGTGAATTTTGAATCTAGGAAGTCTAACACAAACGTTTCTTGCAAATATTGCAAGAAACATGGACACACTGTGGACAAATATTACAGGCTCCATGGATTTCCTCCAGACTTCAAGTTCACAAAGAACAAGAAGTCTGCTTCATGTGTCCAAACTGAACATGTTTTCACTCCTTCTACACCTTTGCATGCTGCTCCAACTACACAGTTTCACGAGTCATCAGCTCATGGTTTTACTAAAGAGCACTACCAACATCTCCTAGCTCTATTTCAACAGGCTCGACTATCTTCTGGGTCAACTCATGATGAGTCTACTGTGGACAACACTGCATTTGCCCACTTGCAGGTTTATTTAGTAGTTATGCTGTAAATTCTATGAATTCTCATATATGTGCTTCATCACAGTTAAAAGTAAATCCTTGGATATTAGATACAGGTGCAACTAACCATATGACTCCACATAAACACTTACTTTTTAATGTAAAGCCTTTACCTAAACCATTCTTTGTCACTTTGTCAAATGGATATAAAGCCAAAGTAGTTTCCATTGGATCTTTATATCTCAGACATGATATAGTCTTACTTCATGTCCTCCTTGTTCCTTCCTTTCAATTTAATCTGATTTCTGTACATCAACTTATCTTTCAATTAGATTGCTCAGCCTTATTTACCAAATCAATTTGTTCTTTACAGGGCCCTTCTCTGAAGAGGCCACTGGAAATTGGTAAGGCTGCAGGAAGGCTGTACTACCTATATCCAGATGCTGATCTTTTTCCTGTTACATCCACTTCCATGTCTGCTTCTCATTCATTTGTTAGTTTACATGTTTTTGTTCCTTCTATTAACACTAGTCCTGTAGTAGATCATGTTGTTGATGTTGTTTCTTGTAATCACATATCTACCTCTAATAAAGTGGATTTATTTTGGCATCAAAGATTGGGGCATATGCATTTGCACAAAATGAAGTCCATTACATATTTGTCTGACAAAATATCACCTAAACAATCTTTCTTGTGTTCTATTTGTCCAATGGCTAGACAAAAAAGACTGCATTTTCCTGAAAGTGGTATACATTCTACTGTCCCATTTCAATTAGTCCATATTCATATTTGGGGTCCTTATAACACTAAAAACTTACAATGGGTTCAGATATTTCTTGACCATAGTAGATGACTATACAATGGATACTTGGACTCACATTCTTTCTTGTAAAAGTAATGCACTTTCCATCATTAAGGTTTTTATAGCCATGGTCAAAGTGCATTTTAAATCCCTTATTAAAACTTTTAGGTCAGACAATGCTCTTGAACTGGGGCAGTTCTGAAGGAACTCATTTCTTTAATAGTGAAGGGATTTTATACCAAACTACCATTCCACACACTCCTCAACAGAATGGAGTTGTAGAAAGAAAATACAAACATCTTCTTGAGGTATCTAGAGCTCTCCTTTTCTAATATAATCTTCCTCCCAAATATTGGGGTGATTGTATACTAATTGCAACTTACCTCATCAACAGAATGCCTTCATCTGTCATTCATAACCTATCACCCTATGAAAAATTACATGGAATTCCTCCATCCTATGAACACCTCAAGTCCTTTGGGTGCCTATGTTTTGCCACCTCTCCCAAACTAGGGAGAGATAAGTTTCACTCTAGGGCAATACCCTCTATTTTTTGGGTTATCCCTGTGGAAAAAAGGTCTATAAGCTTCTTTACATTTCCAATCACTCCATTTTCTTTTCTAGGGATGTTGTTTTCCATGAATATGTGTTTCCCTACAAATCTGATTCCTCCCCTGTTCTGTTTCCTCTACCTACTCCTGATTCTGTAGATGTCCTGCCTACTCCTGTTTCTCATACTCATGGGAGTGACCCTTCTCCTTCTACCAACTCCAGTCTACCTCATAGCTCTCCTACCCCTTCTTTCTCTTCCTTTCACCATTCTCCAGTATCTCTACCTGCTCCTTCCTCTTCTCCATCTTCCTCATCATCTGCTCTTTCACCTACTCCTCCTTTTATTCCTCTAAGGAGATCTTCTAGACTAGTCATACAGCTTGTTCACCTTAAAGACTATGTCTTTTCATCTGTACTCTCACTTGCATTTCCACCATCTACCAAGGTATCTTGTGTTGATTTGCACATGCACGAGTCTCAGCTTTACCAGCAGGCTGTTTCCAATCCTGCTTGGCAAGAGGCTATGCTAAAGGAATTTCAAGCTCTTGAGACAAATTAGACATGGGAGATAGTGCCTCTTCCTCCTCACAAAAAGGTTATTCCTTGTAAATGGGTGTATAAAATTAAGCAAAAAGCTGATAGGTCTATTGAAAGGTATAAAGCAAGACTAGTTATAAGGGGTGATTCTCAACATGAGGGTATTGACTTTACAGAAACTTTTTCACCTGTTGTTAAGCTTACCACTATCAAATGCTTACTAACTCTGGCTGCCAAGAACAAGTGGACTATTTTTTAGCTTGATGTTAATAATGAATTTTTGCATGGTGATCTCCATGAGGAGGTCTACATGAAGGTACCCACTGGTCTTGATATCTCTGGTTCTTCTTCTTCTCCTTTGGTTTGCAAACTCAAGAAGTCCCTTTACGGCCTTAGGCAAGCCTCCAGACAGTGGGTTCCTAAACTGTCTGAAGCTTTGCTCTCCAAAGGCTACATTTCAAGTCTAAGTGATTACTCCTTCTTCACCAAATCTACTTCTGATTCTCTAGTTCTGTTGGTTGTGTATGTTGATGATACTCTGTTAGCTGAAAATGATTTGTCTGAAATGCAGTCCTTGAAGTCCTATTTGGATGCCACTTTAAAATCAAAGATTTGGGTTCAATGCATTACTTTCTGGGGTTGGAGATCTCTCTTCATCCTCAAGGATACATTATGAGTCAGCATAGACTCACATATGATCTCAATTGTCAACATTTTTCTTCTGTCTTGACCCCCTTGGATCCTTCTGTCAAGCTCACTATGGACATGGGAGAGCCTATCTCTGATCCTAGCTTATATAGACGAATGGTTGGGAAGCTGAATTTTTTGCAAAACACCAGATATATCTTTTTCAGTACAACATTTGAGTCAATTTCTACAAAAGCCTCAAGTTCCCCATATGATGGTTGCTTCGCATGTCCTTCGATATCTCATGAATGATCCTGCTCAAGGTGCTCTCCTCTCCAGTTCTTCATATTTTTCACTGCTGGCATACTCTGATTCTGATTGGGCTTCTTGTGTGGTGTCTCGCAAATCTGTTAGTGGATATTATATTACTCTTGGTGGCAGCCCTGTTTCTTGGAAGAGTAAAAAGCAGCCTACCATTTCTCTATCATCTGCTGAGGCTGAATGTCGGGCCCTTCGAAAAGTAGCTGCCGAAATTTCTTGGCTGGTTAGGCTTTTGGGCGATCTTGGTTTGCTAATCACTAGCCCAGTTTCTGTGTTTTGTGACTCATAAGCTGCTTTGCACATGGCTATGAATCATGTCTTCCACGAGCGTACGAAGCATATTGAGATTGATCGCCACTATATCCGCCAATGCTTGTCTTCTGGTTCGCTTTCTCTTCATTATGTTTCTTCCTCGGATCAGTTGGCTCATATTATGACCAAAGCTCTCACTAGGCAGCCTCATCATGAGCTTCTTTCCAAGCTTGGTGTGATATCACCCTCAAGCTTGAGGGAGGGTGTTGACCAGAGTGTGACTCCAGCCCAATCCAACAAAGGAAAGCAGCTGGCCCACTAGTGTAACTGAAGAGATCCGGCCTACTTATACATTTACTTGTATTTTTATTTTTCATATACCTGTAAATATAAAAGAATAATATCTGGGAAGTGAATTAGTTTTGGTCAATAGTCATTTTGACCAGCTCATATTTTCTCTCGAACCTTCTGTATCTCTCTTCTCTCAATGTTAGGGTTTTCTCTTCCGCCATAGCTAATCTCTGTAGCAAGTTAACATTAGATACGAACACATTGAAATACGAATACATTGTTGAATCATATGGTTGAAATGTTGGTTCATCTCACATAGAGAAAGATTAAATTACACTTTTTATTATCATTATTAATGTATTATTTATATATTTAAACATATATGATTTGGTTTAAAAAACTATTAAAATTTTACCTAAAGAAAATCTTAACAATTAGGTTACTAATCTTGCAAGTCATATATCAAATAAAGACAAAAATATAATTTTCAATTCTTTTATGTTATTTTCAATATAAAATTTTGATTTTTACATTTTTACTATGTTGCTTGTTTTGTTTCATTATTATATATCTTTCATTTTGGGTGAATTGGTAATGACTTGCGACGCCAATATAAATACGGAAGAGAGAAGAATGTATTTTATTTTTTAAATTTTTTAAAATATTTTTTCCCTCTCGATTCAAATTTATAAGCTTTATCCTAATTCAATATTTTTGTATATCAATTCAAATAGATACAAAATCTCGAAATGATAATCTAATAAGAATGTTAAAGATTGTTTATTTTAGAATTTCAAATACACTCTTAGCATTATAAATTGTCTATACAATCTATAATATATATATATATATATATATATATATATATATATATATATATATATATATATATATATATATATATATATATTAGATTTTGCCATAAAATCTAATTAAAATTTACCTTTAAAGTGCGAAGTAGCATTTTCTCTATATGACACTTTGCTTGACCTCATGCTTCACTATCATTCTTTTAATATAATATATGAAGGTACATTATTGTTTCCGTAAAATAAAATAGCTAAGTATGTTTAAGTTTAAGCTAAAATGGCCTCTTGGCCACTTAATCTTGCACCAGATTGTCATGCCGGTAAATAAATGTAACGACCCGACCGGTCGTTTTGAGCATTTGCACTTCGCTCGCCAGTTCTGGGCATGACTAGCCCTGTATGATGTATTATGACTTATGTAAATCATCGGCATTGATTTTCAGGTTAATCGGAACAAATATGGATGAATCCTCAGCTTGAAGCATTAAATTTGAAAGGTTTGACCAAGTTTTTGACTTTTAGTATTCGATCTCGGATTTAGATTTTTATAATTTGGTTAGCTCCGTTAGGTGATTTTGGACTTGGGAGCGCGTCCGGAATGTTAGTTGGAGGTCCGTGGTAGAATTTGGCTTGAATTGGCGAAATTAAAAATTTAGCATTTTCCAGTCGGCAATGGAAATTTTGATATCGGGGTCGGAATGGAATTCCGAAAATTGGTAGGTCCGTAGTGTCAATTGTGATGTGTGTGCAAAATTTTAGGTCATTCGGACGAGGTTTGATAGGTTTCGGCATCGTTTGCGGAATTCGGAAGTTTGGAAATTCTTAGGCTTGAATCCGACGGTGATTTGGTGTCTTAATGATGTTTTTAGTGTTCCGAAGGTTTGAATAAATTTTAATGGTGTTATGTGACTTGTTGGCATGTTTCGTTGAGGTCCCGAGGGCCTCAGGATGAATTTGGGTGGTTGACGGAAGGATTGGCATTGAGTTGGTGCTGCTGAAATTTGTTGCTTCTGTCATATCTGCACCTGTGGATTGGGGACCGCAGGTGCGAGGTCGCAGGTGTGAGCTGGGAGGCGCAGATGCGGACGCTGTGGAGTTTGGTCCGTTCCGCAGAAGCGGAAGATGAGTCGCAGGTGTGCACCGCAGGTGCGATGGTGTGACCGCATATGCGGAAAGTGGTTCATTAAGTGGGTTCCGCACCTGCGATGGAAATTCCGTAGAAGCGGGTATTTGACAGCAAGTGCGGCCCAGCTCTCGGGGTTTGTTCTTCATTTTTTGATTTTGGGCTTGAGGAACTCGGGAGAGAGGCGATTTTTCAAGGGATTTGAAGGAGCAACGTTGGGGGTAAGTGATTCTGACCTATAATTGTTTAAATTTCATGAATATATGATTTTATTCATCATCTAATTGAGAAGTTGGACTAGAAATTTGGGAATTTAGGGCTTGAAATTGGAGAGTGGATTTTGGGGAATTTGAGTGACCAAATGAAGTTAGATTTTGATAAATTTGGTATGTAGTGTTGTGATTTTTATTGGATTCTAGTGTTGTGATTTTTATCGGATTCCGAGACCTGGGCCTGGGGGTCGGGTTTGGCCAATTTCGAGAATTTTGATTTAATTTGATAAATTTCGCATGGGCTTTGTTCCTTTAGCATGTATTGATGATGTGATACTAATTTTGAATAGATTCGGGATGAATTGAGGCCGAGACGAGCGGCAAGGGCATCGCGGAGTAGATTTTCATCCGGTTTGAGGTAAGTAATGATTGTAAATCTAGTCCTGAGGGTATGAAACCCCGGAATTTCATGTATTCTAATAAATAAAGTGACGCACATGCTAGGTGACGGGCGTGTACCAGTAGGGATTGCGACTTGGTCCGCCCCGTGACAACTGTAAAGTTGCATATTTTGATAAACTCTATATGATATCTATGTGATTTAGAAATGATTCTGTTAACTTGGGCTGAGTGCCATGTTTGGGGCCTTGTGTCGTACTGTTTGGACCCTCATGGTTATTTTACTACTACCCTCACACTGTTTTGATTCGAAAACATATCCTCAGTCATGATATTTACCTGTTTATTATTTGATTAAGTTTCATTATTCTATTTTTAAATATATGAAAGTTGTTTGGGCTCAGTTCCCTGATTTTCCACTGAAATGCCCGAATGGCTTGTGAGGTTGATGACTGAGAGAGGCCGAGGGCCTGATGGTGAGGATTATATAATTATGGATCGGGTTGCACGCCGCAGATATATATATATATATATATATATATATATATATATATATATATATATGTGTGTGTGTGTGTGTGTGTGTGTGTGTGTATGGATCGGGCTGCACGCCGCAGCGATATAGCGCTTGGGCTGTAGGAGCCCCTCCGGAGTCTGCACACCCCAGTGAGCGCAGTCGACTATATATTTATGGATCGGGTTGCACGCCGCAGCGCTTGTCATAAGGTACCTATTGAGCGTGAGTGCTGAGTGTGAGCGCTGAATGTTGAGAGTTGAAGCACGAGTGACTGAGAGGCTTGCCTGAGGAGCTATACATATATATGAGTGATACTTTGCCCGAGGGGCTTGTTTTTATTAAATTACTGTTTTCACTCTTCTTTTATACTGAGCCTCTATTGAAAATGTTGAGCAAATGTTTAAACAACTTTCATTGAAACTGGAAATTTTTACGAGATGTTCGGAATTTAACTGTTAATTTTAACCTTGT